GTGAAACAGAACCAGAGACTCAGGGCTGAGGTTTGCTTCCAGGGCCCTGCAGACCTCATCTGCTGGCAGCCACAACCCCCCTCTGCGGCCTAACTATTAAAAGTAGCTGATATTGGAACCAAGATGGCGGCGTAGGTAAACGCCGGTACTCACCGCCTCCCACAACCACATCAAAACTACAATTAAAATACAGAACCACCATCATCCAGAACCGCCTGAAAGCTGGCTGAATGGAAGTCCGACAGCTAGAGAAGTGAAGAAAGAGCACAGTGAGGCTGGCAGGAGGGGCGGAGGGGCAGAACGGGCTGGACCAGCACCCACGTGTGCTATTTTTTTAATCAGGAGGGAGATCATCCCTGTGGAGGCTGCCAGTGAGAAGCAAGGATCCCAGCTGCACACCAGACCCCCAACCAAGGGTCCCAGAGCTGGGAAGAGAGTCCCCATAACTTCAGGCTTTAAGAACCAGCAGGGGTTGTGGCAGAGGGACATGGAGACTGCTGGAGACCCAGGTGGTCCTCATAAAAGGGCCGGTGCACAAACTTACTCAGACTCACCTCCTCTAAGCTCCAGCTGCAGGAGGCGTTGGGGGACCCAGACACATAAGGGAGGAACTGGATTGTCTGGCATCAGGGCAGCAACTCGGGTGGCTTTCTCCCAGATGGGGGTCAATGCAGGGGTCATTGTCCTGTGCTGGGACCTCCCCTATCACAGAGCTGATTGGCAGCCATATGAGTCCCCATCAACCTGGAGCACACTGTTTGCTCCAACCTGATGATTCCCTGAGACCCCACGCATCCAATTTGCAGTCTCACCCAAGCTGTTTGCGGCGCCTTTTCCATATGAAAGGCCTGTCCTGGCTCAGGCTTCAGACTTTCCTGAAATCTCTCAAACAAGCAGCAGCTGGTGTCAGCATGCCCCAAACCTATCAATTAAAGGCCTAAGACCTGGCACTAGCACCAGCCTGCCTTGCTTCACAGCTGGGCCTCACCTGGGCACTTCCAAACCCAATAGCAATAGGAGGCATCTGAAGATCTCTCTGTAGCTCCTGCTGGGTGGCCCCTGGCAGTGGCTGACTTTGCACCTCCCTGGAGTCCCTAGAACCAGTGCACCCAGTGGACAGCTTCAGATTATACCAGATTGCAACTCTACACATCCACAAGCAACACACTCAAGAGGCAGACTCAGTGAGCACCAAAGCCCCACTGAAGCAAGTCCTGCTCTATAGGGGTGTCTCCTGCACAACAGCTCTCCCACTGTAGTTGCAGCTGGTCCTCACAGCCAGTGGGCCTGGAGGTCAATTCCTCCCAGTGACACCAACAGCATTCAAGGCTCAAGCACAAGACTGTGCACATAACCCACACAGGGGCACACCTAGAGTGCCCAGCTCAGGTGACTGGGCCCTACAGGACACTCTACCACCTCCAGAAGACATAACAGCTCTACCCAATTCATAGAAACAAACACAGGGAAGCAGCCAAAGTGTGGCGACAAAGAAGCATGTCACAAATGAAAGAAATGGAAGAAAGCAAACTACTGCATACAGAGTTCAAAACCACCATTATAAGGTTACTCAAGGATCTTCATGAGAGCTTAAGGGACTTAGTGGGACTTTCAAGGTTCTTAGTGAGAATGCCAAACACATGAAAAAGGACCAGTTAGAAATTAAGCATACACTAACTAAAATAAAGAATAACTTACAGAATCACAATGAGTTGGAGAGAAACCAAGATGGCGGCATAGGTAAACACCGGAAATTGCTGCCTCGCACAACCACTTCAAAAATACAACTAAAAGATAAAACAGACATCATCCAGAACCACAGGAAGGCTGGCTGAGTGGAAATTCTACAACTAGAAGGAAAGAGAAAAGCACACTGAGACTCAGAGGAGGTGCAGAAGTAAAGTGCAGAGGTACAGAGGCGCGGGCGGAAAGTGCTGGCAACTGAGGACGCGGTTGTCTTTTTCAATCGGGAGGGAG